ATGGAAAACACGAGACTCCCAAAAAGAATGCTAATGGGAGGAATAGGAGGGAAAAGGAAGAAAGGCAGACCGAAAACCAGGTGGAAGAAGGATGTTGAAAAAGACATAGAAAAACTTAAAATACCAAACTGGAAAAATAAAGCAACAAACAGAAAAGAATGGAAAAGAATAGTAAACCAAGCCATGGAGAGCTAAATTATATATGTAGTCACACGTAGCGGATAGTGGACGGCCTTCAGGTATAAAGGTTCCCGACCAAGCAGCGGCAATACCAGAGAATGTAGTGGGTATACTTTAGGAAAGTATGCCTTAACATTGCTACAAAACCCAATTAAAGTGTCGTGACATCACTAGTATTGTCGACATTAAAGATAAAGTAAATCGACCTGTCATTAGGCAGCAGTAATGTAATTACAGGAATAGAGCTATGATAAACTAAAATTCCCGTTAGCTTAATATTAGATACTCACAGGCCCCACCCACATTATGAGTCAACCGGCAGTGTCACTGCTATGGGGAAGATAACAGGAAACCACCCCGTTTATAGTCCCTAGTACATTCTTCATGGTTGATGTACACATAATTGGAGAAGCTACTGATCATGGACCTTGAATAAAAAGACCTGATAGGAGAGTAAGAGCACGAAACTGTAAGGCCTCCTCGGTCGTCAATACACACAATCCTTCCTATTATTGAAACATCCATGGAGAGAGAGTGTGCACCTATTACACTATCCAAGCAAGCGCGTAGATAAGGGGGGGTACTGGGGGGACAGTACCCCCCCCCTAATAAGCATTCTAATAGAAGCAATAAAATACTAAAAGATATAGGAGAAATTAATAATACACATTCCTCATCAAAAAAAAATTCAATCTTATTCGCTTAAAAACCAATTTTTATTACATTGTCTTTTAAGTTTTAAAATGTCAACTATAACGCGACCACAACCCGCCACTGGTTTTACCATTACATCTTTCGCCTATGTATCCGACATAATCTCTCGTTGCGTTGCAGCTCAGGGCCAAGAGAGAACTACTGAACACTGAACATATTATTATTTCGATGGAGAGAACAGACAACTAGACAACAGTTAGTCACTCAACACTACTCAACAGTCGCGTGTTATCACAGTCGAGCAGAATATCGTTACTGTTTAATTTATATATAACCTATTTTCCTTATTCTATTATCGCGGAGGGATTGTGTTAATGAATACATTGTAGAATTATAAACTGTAAGTGAGTGAAATACTTTGCAATTTTGCGTTTGTGTAACACATAAACCTGGAAAACTACTCATTCCTACGTATTCTACCCTACACGACCTAGGAGCCACATCTTAGATTATTGTTGTAAGTTGTTGTTATTTTTTTAAATTGGAAGTTTATACGAAGTTTTATATCAACAGGTTGTGGATATACCTATAGTTCCCTAAAAATGAGCAAGCGAAAGAACCAGCCCTCCTTGGATTATTTTTTTGTTAAGAAAACTAAACAACCAGAAATAGAAAATAAAGCGGGGCCAAGTAAAGAATTTATTATTGAAGCAATAAAAGACGTTGCAGTTTCGCAGGAATCGCAAGCCAGTGCCATTGAAGAAACAGAGAATCCTGAAGCGGGAAAGTTTGGAGAAGAAGTAGACATTGGACAGTATGTCAACCAAACAAACATAACCGACCTAGAAAAAGTAAATATATTAAAAAACTCTTTTGTTCGAGACCACAAATTTAAATTTCCATTTTCAGTTCATGTAAAAAAACAAAAAGAAAAAAAATGTTATTTATCTTTTAACCATTTTAAATCATTTAAATGGCTAGTCTATTCGAAGTCAAATGGGGGACTGTTCTGTAAATATTGTGTTTTATTAGCAAGAACAGGAGGGATGCATAAAAATATTCCTTTTAAAAGTTTAGTAACTATTCCTATAAAGAAATTTTCAAAGTTATTTGGAAAAGATGGCGATTTGTTATCACATGCCGCAAATAAGTGTCACAAAGATGTTGTTTTAATTGGAGATAATTTTTTAGTAACTTTTAATAACCCTGAAAGGGAAATATCAAACATTCTTAGTTCTGGACGATTGGCCCAAGTAAAAGAGAACAGGGAAAAATTGAAACCTATCATCAACAGCATCGTTCTTTTGGGAAAACAGGGTATAGCATTTCGCGGTTACAGAACTGAGTCAGAATTGTCAAAATACTCGGAGGTAAATGAGGGCAATTTAAGAGAAATCATCCGCCACCGTATTCAGACGTGTGGTGATGATTTAAAATTGAAATCTCATTTTGAAACCGCAACTTCCCGAACTAAGTACATAAGTCCTACCGTGCAAAATGAATTAATTTCGTGTTGTGGGGACGAAATCTTAAATTCAATTATTTCCAAAATTTCATACAATAAGTTTTATAGTGTGATTTTCGATGAAACAACTGATATTAGTAAGGTATCGCAAATTCAATTTTAATAAGATATTTAGATCCGGAAAATATTCTTCGCGAGGACTTTGTAGGATTCATCGATTGTCATAAAAATAATTATGATGATTTTACAAAAGAGCCAGTTTTAACGGGTGAACTACTGGGAAAAACAGTTGTTTCATTTTTAAATAAGATTGGGTTGCCGTTTGAGAATTGCGTCGGGATTGGCACAGACAATTGCAGTGTTATGTTGTCTGAACAAAAAGGAGCAGTTACCGAAATTCAAAAAATGTTAAAGAATGCTTGCAAATGTCCTTGTTACAGCCATTCACTTAATTTATCCCTATCAAAATCTAGCAATGTCCAAGATATTCGTAACGCGGTAGGTACCATTAAAGAAACCATTGCCTTTTTCAACGCATCGTCTAAAATACATAACGTTTTGAAATTCATGAACTCATCTGCTTTGGAAAGCTTATGCGAAACCAGATGGACAGAACGCCATACAGCTATTCTTAGGTTCAAAGTTTCTTTAGAAAATATCATAGAAACTTTGCAACTAATGACGCAGTGGAAAGATTCTCAATAATCTTCAAAAGCTCAAAGATTATTGTATACAACGCTAAAAACAAATTTTGTAGTTGTTGCTTGTCCCATGTTTTAAATATAACTGTAAGTTATATATGCATGTTGTCTCCATTGCTTGTCCCATGTTTTAAATATAACTGTAAGTTTAAGTAAATCTTTGCAGGCTAAAAGTTTGGACAAAATTTCTGCTCGATCTTTAGTAAACGATATATTATTAGTGTTTCATAAAAAAAGAGAGGATGCTGAAAATGTGTTTAAAGGTATTTTTGAAGAAGTAACGAAAGTTCATCAAAAATTCGATTTTCCAATATTACTGCCAAGAATCAACGCCAGACAAATTTATCGCAGTAATATTGGAACAAAAAATCCTGAAGAATATTTTAGAGTGTCAGTTTTTATACCCCTTTTAGAAAACAATTCCAACACCTCTAGTTTCGTTTCAATTCAGATCTTTTCGAAATTTTAGATATAAACAACTTAATACCGGTTAATGTTTTAAACCAGAGCGATAATGATTTAAAGTTTCTAGTAAAAAAGATTTCCGAATATCTTAGTAAATTTAGAAATGATTTCGTAGAATTTTTATCAGATTTGTTGAAATCAGAAATAGCGCTCTGGATAAATAAATGGAAAGGAATAGAAAATAAAACAAATGATTTGCCAGCGACAGCGTTAGATACCTTGCTGCTTTGCAGTAATGAAATATTTCCCACCATATATACACTCATGCAGATATGCAGATATATACAATCATGCAGATAATTTCTGTTATGCCGGTAAGTGTGGCAAGTGCTGAAAGATCATTTTCCACACTTAAGAGACTGAAATCATGGTTACGGTCTACAATGTGTCAGGAAAGACTAGTTGGATTAAGTTTATTAAATATACACAGAGATATTGAAATAAATATTTATGCTGTTATTGATATGTTTTCAAATCAACGGACAAGAAAAATTGACTTTGTTTCATAATCTAGTTTTTGTGGTGTAATATTTTGTAACCATTACCAGCACGTGATATAGACTTCTTTCCAGACTTAACACATAAAAGTCACCTGTCTTCACCTCCAACGATATCATCAGAAACCAAAGTGAGTGCATTCTCATTAACATAAGGTTTAAGAACAGCATGACTTAGGAAGACCTACCAAGGAACAGACGTCTCATCTGACATAATCCATTAGTGGACCAGGTATAACTCAAACTAAAGAAACTCGTCAAGAGCAAACCGAAAGAGAACCTAGATTATGACACCCTAAAAGACCCCGTAGTTCATCAGTTGTTGGTATGGTGTCGTATCTCGTGGCTAAAAAACCTCCGACGATGGCTTGAAATGTCCTCTGCCGAACTGTTTCAACGAGCGGTCAACAAATCCATGATAGTCTTTTCAAAGGCGTCAATAAATATGCATTAAGTCCAAAAAAATAAAACAAATAACGTATAAAAAATATCTAACGCATATAAAATAAACAAGCAAGAAAAACACTCTTGAGCATAAAAACATTTCTTAAGATTTTGGACCTTAGTCTAAACCTCAGAACTCGGATCATCGTAAGCTATGTTTTGCCTGGTTTACCTTACAAATACAAAAGTTGGCCAATGAACATTGAAAAACAAATAGACGACTTCGAAATGTATATATGTGTAGGATACTGCGAATTTCATGAATAAAAGATTCTCCATCTTCTCCAGCGCATGAATAAACAAAAAGAACTAATAAACACCATAAAAGAAAAAAATATGCAGTACTTGTGTCACGTACTAACCTGAAAATACACTCAAGGGATAAAGTGCCTGAGAAGGTGGATTGACAGACCATCTGCAGAAATCTTTCATGCTGCAGTTTCCAAAACTACAATTGCCATTTGGCTCGACAAACTTCGAAAGGAGGCGGCGTAATAAGAACAAGAAACGTAATAAATGGTATACTTGATTTTTTATCATTGATAGCTGAAAATAACAAAAGCTTTTGTATAAATAAAAATTATAAGTACTTACCAATTGCACCAGAATCAGGCCGGGCCAAATTGTTATACCAGCCATCATAGCCTGGATATTCAACAGTTTTAGAAACACCACTAGGTGTAAAGTTATCACTCCAATTCCCATTCAGTAACCAATCGCCAAAAATATGCCTCCTGTTATTACCGTCACTGTAGTTGCCCGGCCACACAGTATCAGGCGGCTTTCCATTAAACATTTCTGGCGCAGGAGTCCGAGCTGTAGTAGGATTTACATTCGTAACAGGTTGAACTGGAGTCTGCGATATTACTACAAATATAAAATTATAAAAAAAAATTTTGTCATTTTCTCCATATTTTTTCCCTCTGTCCCTTTTGTAAAGCAAATAAACAATACTCTCAGCAATAAACAAAGTTGACCGTGTCTATTGCTGAGTTGTTCCCCTATCATAAGACATATATGACAACGCCTTATTGCACAACTATAACAATTTTTTAAAAAATCAATTGGCCCCGTTCATTAAAAACCGATAAATTTTCCATATTTTTTCAATAACTACAAGAAACAATTTTTGCGATTAAAATGTCCGTATTTCCAACATAAATTCTAAAAATTAAGCACCGCGTTTGATAAACGCGTTAATAAACTAGCCAAACGTATAGAAAAGTTAATTAAAAACTTACCTGGCTGATAATACAAATGGAGAACTACCAAAATTAGAAAAACTAAATACATTATTACAGTTAATTATGTGTGAACCATCACTGAAGTTAACAGAAACTGATACTGAATAAATGTATAAAATTCAAAAGATGACTGAGAGGAAGCCACAAAGATAACAATTTAATCTACCTCTAACTGAAACTAGGGAATTACAGTATCATTTTTGTGTGTAAATGTGGCTAAAATTAAATTTTTTGATTAGATATGTACGTAATACTTTTAATAAAATTTTGTATTCATTTCTAATTTTCGTGATTTTCCTTGTCTTATCACAAAAAAAATAATTTACAAAAGGTGTTCACAGAAATCGCCTCCTACTTCAGTTCAAACATTTGCAGTGTTTATTTGAACCACGAACCCTCTGTAACATTTTCTTGTCCATAAATATCACAACAGCATGAATACGAGCTAAGCTTAATATATACAAGACCTTAATAAGACCAATTTTCATATATGGGGCTGAAACGTGGACCTTATCTTAAAATGATAAAAGACTTCTTGGTATTTTTGAGAAAAAAATTCATAGAAAGATCCGTAAATGAAAATGGCTATGGCATCGAAGATAGAACTTTGAACTATATGAGTTATACACCGATAAAGATATTGTGAAATTCGTTAATGTGCAGAGACTTAGATTGGTTGGACACATTGCTAGGGAGTCAGATCTCGAATACACGAAGAGATTAACATTTTGAAAACCAGAGGGCACAAGAAGCAGAGGACGACCACGAATGAGATGGATTGATGATGTGGAAGAACACCTACAGATTCTAAGGGTTAGAAGATGGAGGGAATATGCCAGGAATCGACAGGAGTGGCGACTTCTTTGTGAGCAGGCCAAGATCCACAACGGATTGTCCTTATGATGATGAATACAAGAATCCCTAGTAGAAAATATCTAAAATATTTAAATCTGCAGATTTAGAAGGCTATAGTACGAATCCTCTTCTTCCTGTCTAACAGTCGAAGAATTTTTGATTTAATAGAATTCTTATTTCATCATAATTCTCTTTGTCCTTATCTCTATGCAGGATCGGCTTCCCTAATTACATTTCTCCATAAGTTTCTATCTTTGATTTTATTAATATCAATGTATCTATACCCAGAGGATATCGTAAAGAGTATGTCCCAGGATGGGATGAAAAATGCGAGAAATTGTATCAGGAATACAACGAAAGCCAAGATCGAGAAATTGCGGACGAATTACTGCACACTTTGGATGCAGCCAGACGACAAAAATGGATGGAAACTGTGGAAAAATTAGACTTTAGTAAATCAAGCAGAAAAGCATGGTCTTTACTTAGAAAACTTGGTAGTAGTAGCCTCCCAACTAGAGAAAAAGTACCAATAGCTCCAAATAGAGTGGCCTTCCACATTGTAGTAACCTCAAGAGCAGCTAGAGATCGTGATCACACCACCAAGGTCAAACAAGAACTTAAAGTACTAAAGTCTGCATGCCCGCCTGCTTCTGAATATTCTGACGTGTTTACTCCAGAAGAAATTCAGCCATATCCGAAATTAAGTCTGGAAAGGCACCCGGCTCCGATAAAATTCATCCAGAATTTTTACTCTGTGGCAAATATGCTAGGAAATGGCTGGCTGATTTCTATACAGATATGTTAAAATCGGGAGAAATCCCCCATTTATTAAAAAAGGCCTCCATTATAACCATATTAAAACCAGGGAAGGCAAATAATCAGCCTCAAAACTACCGTCCGATTGCTTTGCTGAGCTGTGTTTATAAACTGTTGGAACGCTTAATCTACAACAGAATTAGTAGAAACGTATTTGAATTGATACCTATTGAGCAAGCAGGATTCAGACCTAACCGCAGCTGCACAGATCAGATCCTATCCTTAACAACACATATTGAAGCTGGTTTTCAAAGAAAACAAAAAACATCTATTGCTTTCATTGACCTATCAGCTGCATACGATACTGTCTGGAGACAAGGACTAATCTGCAAACTAATCCGTGCCGTCCCGTGTCAAAAGGTAACTAAACTCATTGATAACATGCTCACCGACAGACCTTTTCAAGTCACAATAGACAATTCAAAAAGTTTCCAAATAAAGCTCAGCAATGGACTGCCACAGGGATCTGTTTTGGCACCCTTACTGTTCAATTTATATATCGCGGACCTACCTAGGACAACTTCGCTGAAATTTGGCTACGCTGACGATTGGGCCATTGCAGCAAGACATAATAACATGGATATCACAGAAACAATATTAGCGGATGACCTTGCCATTATGGGAGAATACTTTCGCAAATGGAGGCTACGGCCTAATGCAACGAAAACCGAAGTGTGCTGTTTCCATCTGAATAATGCCCAAGCCAACAAAAAACTCTCCATCCACTTCGAAAACAGACTGCTCACTCATAACTCGACACCAAAATATCTTGGAGTGACTCTGGACAGAACATTGGACTCTGGACAAAACGAGAAATAATATAGTCCAAAAGCTATGTGGCACTACATGTGGGTCATCAGCCTCCGTACTCAGATTATCCGCTCTCGGACTTGTATACTCGGTGGCTGAATATGCTTCCCCGGTATGGCCCTGCATGGGCGACATCTCAATGTGATCAACCAAGATTATGTCGACAATACAGCGTCGAACTATTGGTTGACATCAGGAAAGATGTTTCCCGAGACTGAGGGTTTCCTACTTGTCGTTCAGGATCAGGTTATTTCAACTAAAAATTACCTGAAATATATTGGAGGATAAGGATCCTCAAGTCCAAAATGACAAATGCCGATATGTATGCCAAGCCCAAGAAACCATCCAACATCTTACCGGTGGCTGCCAGGCATATGTCGGTACTGATTATAAAGAACGCCATGACTCAGTAGGAAAGATTATCCACCAAGAACTTGCTGACAAACTGGGACTTCTCCAAACCGACCATCTTCCTTATTATCAATACGCCCCTGATAGAATGCTTGAAAATGACAACTACAAGCTATACTGGGACCGCACTGTGCTTACAGACCAACCAGTGGCCCATAATAGACCGGATCTCATACTAATTAATAAACTTACTAGACAAACAACATTTATTGATGTGGCGATACCCAACACCAATAATTTAAGTGTTAAATACAACGAAAAGATCGCCAAGTACAGAGATCTAGAAATACAAATCAGGAGACACTACCTATTGTTCTATCTACTACTGGTGTTATTCCCAAAAACCTCCTTTTTCTTAACGTGCCCTATCAAGTCCCCTTGACGTTGGCGATTAACATGGCGAAACTGTCTCTGTCTCGAGCTATTCTAAAGAGTTGCTCAGCTTTCTTTATTCCTGTCCACTCTCTGATATTCTTCAACCAAGAGGCCTGATTTCTACCAATTCCTCTGCGTCCTTCGATTTTACCCATCATAATAAGTTGAAGAATATTATATCGGTATCCCCTTACTACGTGTCCAAAATAGGCCATCTTTCTACATTTGATGTTATCAAGCAGCTCGCGAACAGCATTTGCTCTCTCAAGGACTGCCACATTTGTCAGCATAGCCGTCCATGGAATTTTTAGTATACGTCTGTGCAGCCACATTTCAAAGGCCTCCAGATGATTAATGGTGGATATTTTTAATGTCCAAGCTTCGACACCGTATAAGAGGACTGACCAAATGTAGCATTTAACCATACGCTTTCGAAGTTGAAGTTTCAAGTTATCATTACAGAAGAATGACCTCATTTTTAAAAATGTCGTGCGGGCTATCTCGATTCTACATTTTATCTCTTGATCTGGATCTAGTTGTTCAGTAATATGGCAACCAAGATATTTAAAACTGGACACTCTTTGAATTATATGACCATCAACATTATAATCGTGCATCTTGATGTGCTAAACGGCTAAACACCATGTGTTTTGTTTTTGAACAGTTTATGTTTAGGCCAAACTCTCTTCCCACTGTATCAATGGCATTTAAAAGGCATTGTAATCGATTCATGTCATCACTTAAAATAACTGTATCGTCTGCATATCTGATTGTATTTATCAAAATTCCATTAACTTTCACGCCCCATTACAACTTATGCAGCGCTTCTTTAAATATTCTATCTGAATATAAATTAAATAACAGTGGGGATAGTATACAACCCTGTCTGACAGTTCTTTCTATTTTACATATTTCTGTTGATTTTCCGTTTATGCAAGCTGTCGCTGTTTGACGCCAGTATAACTTTTCTATGAACCGTATGTCTTGACTATCAACTCCTTTATCTTTTAATATTGTAATTAATTTGTGATGCTGTACTCGATCAAAGGCCTTTTTATAGTCAATAAATACAGCAAAGACGTCTTTCCTTTGATCTCGACATTTCTGCAGTAATACATTTAGTGCAAAGAGGGCGTCCCGAGTTCCCAGTACATTTCTGAAGCCAAATTGTGTTTCATCCTGATCTTCTAGCGAACATAAAACAGCTGGGTCTAAATGAACATCTTTATAAGGCCATGCAGAAAGCTGTACTCCTCGCGACGTCCAGATGGGTACGAAAATTATTGGGAGATACTCCAACATACCAAGTCACCTAGGGCTCGATAACACGGAAAGAGTCCCACCAGAACCCAATCCTTTTGATACCGTAGGTATCTGGGATGAGTGAATTTTCCCCTTAGAGGGAGTGTGAGCCGTATGGCTAAATCTGGGATAGTAATAAATAATGGCAGGGTGTTGAGGAGGCGGGCCCCTATCATACAATCAGCTACAGCCCAACAAGAACAACAACCAAAAGCGAGCCAAACAACAACAACAACAACAAGACAGCGCATGAAATGGACTGTGTCCATGAATGAAAATATTTTGCGCTTTTATTATAAGGTGACAAACCTCGGTCAGAAACAATTGGCTATCGACAAAATCTGTATGCCAAGTTTTGCAGAGAGTACCCAGAAATGCAAGTATCTTAACAACGAGTAGCAGATCTATACCGGATAATTATCAGAAATAATCTTATCCCAGAGACTAGACGCAATACCATCAGAAGCGAAGTTGAACGGGAGATTCAAGATTCAAGAACCAATTCTTGAGGTTATCATAC